CAGCAGACACCACGTCAACAGCACAGATAAACATTGCTGGGTGAGGGACAGACTGACTTCACATCCCTCGTGGTGGTGCACTGAGAAGAGCACAGCGTCATTCCCCTGATGTTGTTGCCCAAAGATTATGATCAATCACAATCTGCAGAAGCCTCAGATAAACCCAAATTGATAGCCTTCTGCAAAATAATTGGCCTGTGCTCAGAGAAGTCTGAGAGAGATCTGGAAACTCATGAACCCGTCCAGGCTAACAGACACTGAAACTGCTTGACAACTGAACACAATGCCCAGTCCTGGGGTTTCTTCTCCCATGGAGACCGTATTGGGACAACTGGCAATATCTGATTAAGGACTACTGATTAGACAATAGTATTGTCTTAATGTTAGTTGCCTGATTCTGCTAATCATACTGTAGCTATATGAGAATGTAATACTTATGGGACTCTACCCTGAGATGGCTCAGAAAAATGATATTGATGTGTATTTGTGTGTGTGCAAACAGAAAGAGAGGAAAGAAAAAGAGAGGAGTGAAACAAATAGAGTAAAATGATAGAAACCAAAGTGAAGGGTATACTGCAATTTCCCGTATTCTTGCAAATTTTAAGTCTGTAATTATGTTTAAAAGAACTTTTGGGGAAGAAAAATACAACCCCAGCCTGACATCATAAACAAATCAATTAAAGACATGTAAAAGGTAAAGTTATTAAGCTTTTCTAAGCTAACTTTATAAGGAGAACATCTTCATGACCTCAGGATAGAAATGGATTTCTTAAATAAGACAGGGGAAAAGCTAACCATGAGGTGAAATGTGGATAAACTTCCTCCTACAATAAAATTAAGAGCTCTAGTGCATTAAAAGCCAACACACAGACTCTGAAGACAGCAGCCTTCGGTCAAAGGGAGCCCCACCCCTCCCCAGGCTAGTTTTGGCCATGGCCAAGGGAGAGGTGCTGGGGCTGCAGAAGTGGGTGACACAGGCGCCAACTTGGGTTGTGAACCCCTCTCGGCAGATGTGTGAGGGGCTGCTGCTATGGAAGGCATCCTTGTCACCTTCTGTCACCCAGTACAAGTTAGAGGGTCAGCCAAGATATATTGTTATAGTTCAGAGCATGAGCTGTGGCCTTCACTTGTTCTCGGCTCCTTCTTGGAACACAGGCCCCTGCCCAGTGCTGAAGGCTTGCAGCACTGAGTGTGGCAGACAGCCCCCACCAGGCAGAGGACAGTCACCTCTCCAAGGCACTCCTGGAAGGGTGGGGAGATAGAAACCGAACCAGAAAAACAGAGAGAGACAAGGGCTGCCAGGGGAGGATGCTCAGAGGACTTGGGGTACATGGGGTCTAGGTGCCCAAATGGCATCAGGCTGAGTGAGGAGGGCCAAAGTCAGAGGTGTGAATCAGCCAGGTTACTCTGCAGGGTGGAGCATGGGCTGGGACAGGGTAGGTTAAGTCAGGAGAAAGACGTGCCATCATCATGAGTGCTACTTCCTTATGTAGAAAGTTTAGGGTTTTGATGTATGGACACCATGTCCCTTCTGACGTGACGCAGTGAGAAGGGCACACGTCACTTCTGCGGCCTTCTTGACAAAATTGAATAACCTCAGTCTACTCATGGGAAAACGGCAGACAATCGAACTGAGGGCCACTTACAAAATAATTCACCATGGTCTTTCAACAGTGTCAAGATCATAAAAGACGAAGACAGACTGAGGAACCGTCCAATTGTCCTGGATTGGAGGAAACCAGGGACATATGATTCTGGATCGGTTTTTTAGACCAGATAAAGGACATTATGGGACACTTGTTGAAATTTGGATAAGGTCTGTAGATTACTTAATAGTCATGGTTCAATGTTACCCTCCTGGTTTTAATCATGTGCTGTCGTTACATAACATGCTAGCAGTTGAAGAAGCAAGACAAGCAGGGTATGTGAGCAGTCTTCGTACTATTTTTTGAAACAACTTTATTAAGGTATAGTTTATGTACCATAACATTTGCCCATCTTAAGTGTATAATTCTTTTTTCTTATTATTAAGTGTATAATTCAATGATGTTTAGTAGATTTATCGAGTTGTGCAAACAACACTACAACCTAGTTCTAGAACATTCTCATCACCCCAATAAGATTCCTCATGAAGCCACAGGCCACCACTGATCTGGTTTGTTTCTATTTCTTTGCCTTTTCTGGACGTTTCATATAAAGCAGGGGTCCCCAACCCCCTGGGCCATGGACCTTTACTGGTCTGGGATCTATTAGGAATCAGGCCGCACAGCAGGAGGTGAGCGGCAGGTGAGCCAGCAAAGTTTCATCTGTATTTGCAGCTGCTCCCCAGTGCTAGCATCACCGTCTCAGCTCCATCTCAGATCATCAGGCATTAGATTCTCAGAGGAGCACTGGTCCCTGGTACCAAAAAGCCTGGGGACCGCTGATATAAAAGGAATCGTGCCATATGTGGTCTTTTGTGTCTGGCACACTTAACATAATGTTTTTGAGGTCTTTGTACTGTTTTAATGGGATAATTTGTGAAACTTGAATAAGATCTGTAAAACGACTGATAGTATTATATCAATGTTAATTTCTTAATTTACATAGTGGAATTATGGTTTTATAAGATTTTAATATTAGAAGAAGCTGGGTGAAGGGTATGTGGTAACTACTATTTTCGTAAGTAAAATACTTTTTATAAATATTTTATAAGTGAAATAATTTCAAAATAAAATATTTTTTTAAGCTTAGGGTCTGAGTCATGCACTTAGGATGGTCTGTGGCACTGAAGTTCTGATTTCTTTTCAATATGATGGTTCTGCTGGCCTTTCCACTCCCCAGAGGTCCTTGGTGAGCTCAGCTTCCAGAAGGTTCTTCAGGGTCATGTAGGAGCTGTAGAAGAGAGGGCATACATTCTGAGTCACAGAAGCACAGCTGTAGGGGTTCAGGGAGGAGATTTTTCACTTCCTTCCTGATGCTAGCACCTCCAGGGCTGCCCAGGAGGGTGGGGACATGGCTGGTACCTGGAGGGCCTTAGACTGGACCTCTGTTGGCCTGAGCCCAGGCAGGGACCTGAGAGGCTGAGTAAGCTCAGAGCGAGGGAGGTACAAACCGAGGGGAATGGAGAGGGCTCCAGGGGCTGAGACCCCAGTTTCTGCCTGGATATCTGCCCGGGGACTTCCTCGGAAGCCGCTGGGCCTCAGCTTCCTGTTGCCAAGGCAGGGGCGAGCTTGGAAGGGAGGCTGTGTAGGCCTCAGAGCAAACGAGAGCTTGGCAGAGAGGAGGGCCTGGACACGAGCCAGGACCCATGGACACACACGCGGGCCGTGGGTGAGCTCCTGTACACTTGCAAGCACTGGGCCCCTGGGAGGAACACATGGGCATGTAACACACTGACAGGCATACACTGCATGCAGGCATGCTTGGTGCACAGGCCTCCTGCCAACAGGCAACCCATCCTTCAAGAGACCCAGGGCTGGAGGGGAGGCCAGAGCAGGTTTCAGAGAGGAAGAGGGCTGAGTGGGCAGCTGCAGGGTTGAACATGATCCCATCTGTTTCCAACCATTGTCTGCCAGTCTTTGCCTGTTACTGAGCTCCTACTACTACTGAGGGGGCGAAGTTGGCCAAAAGGCATCCTACTACTACTGCGAGGGCGAAGTTGGCCAGGTGATGAGGGTAAAAGGGGTTCTTGAGGAACTCAGCAGGCAACACAACCCTCAGGCTGGAACCTGGGCTTGGGGTAGCAAGGAAGGAGGCATGGGTGTGGAGGCAGAGGGGTGCCAGGCCAAGGCAGTGGACTGCTGTAGTAGCAGTCACTCTGAACACCCAGCTGCTCTGTCCCCGTCCCTCCCATGACCTGGCTTGTGCTTGCTTCCGGCCTGTGTTTATCACCTGTCTCCTATCATAGTGGCCATGTGCGGGCTCCATCCTCCTCAGTGTGGTGTGGGGCCACCAAAGTTCCAAGGAAGTTTCTAGCCAGCGTTGGCTCCAGTCAGTTTTGGCTCATGTGTCCTGCCCTCAGGCCTGGGAGGGGTGGGGGCAGCTCTCTCTAGACTGCAGGACCCGAGTGTGGAGAGGGCTGGAGCCTCAGGAGGGAGGGATGCTGGGCGGGCAGATAAAGCAGGTGACTGTTCCAGGGTCAGAAACCCAGAAAGGATGGGTTCAGCTATCCTGAGTGGGCTGACCCACTGTGCCAGACCAGCCAGGCGGCCTTGGAGATGGCCCGTGTGCATGGAGCCCAGGCAGCTGTGGGGCTAGGTGGGCATCAGGCCTCCTGGAAGAAAACAAGCACTTGGCTGGCATGGCCAGTGAGGGCCGGGATGGCCCTGCATTCAGAGGTGCATGTTTCAAAACAGCCTTATTTGGAAACAGATAAGTGGGTGTGTATGAGCGGATGGCGGGTCAGGGCTGGTAACCATGAGGAGCCTGTGACCTGTGCCCAGGTAAGATATGACTGGGGCAGGGCAGGGCTTGTAAGGTGACACTGTGGTGAATTTGAGAATGAGTGGGACTTGATGATAGATTGGAAGTGGTGGCAGTGGACACCCAGCTGGAGCTTCTAGTTTCCTGAAACCAGACCCAGGACAAGGGGAGTCTGGAGGGCCAATTGAGACCAACTTCCAGGTGCAGGGCCTGGAAGACGCTGGGATGACATGGTGGCTGGACACACTTGAGGCTGGAGCACACCCAGATGGACAGCTTAGGTTCTCTTAGCATGTGGTTAGGCACAAAAGGTGCTAAAAGGACTGGGAGGAAGTGGCCAGGCTGTCCTAGCCAGCTGCTTTCGCCTGCCCAGACTCCTTCTGGCCCTAGTTTCCGCCCACTCAGTCTGACCAAGCTCCCTGGCTCTCTGGCCATGGTCATGCCCCTCCCCAGGCCCCCTCCACTGCGAAGGGGTGGGGAGAGCCGGCCGATCTTCCTCTCCTGGGTCAGCCTCTGAGCAGCAGCCGGCTCAGGCTGATAAATGCTCTGCAGCTAGCCTCTCACACACCAGCCAGCCCGACAGAGCCACCGGTACCATGAAGGACGAGGTGGCTCTTCTGGCCATCGTCACCCTCCTGGGAGTCCTGTTGCAAGGTGGGCTGGCTACTGTTTGGGAGGTGGGTGGGCCTCAGACCCTGCAGCCTGCCTTCTGTCCTCTGAGCCCCGGGGAGGTGCTGGAGGGCCTGGGCCCAGGTGAGGGCAAAGGTGAGGCCCCTAGCCTAGACTCTGGTGCCCTAGGTCTTCTGACCCCATTGACCCTATCCCTGGAAGCTGGGATGCCCCAGGGCTGAGGAGCTTGCACTTTCCCCAGACGAGGAGGGGTAAGCCCTGGATGGATATCTGCAAGGCAGACTGAAACCCTGGGCAGGGACCAAGGCTGACAAGGGCAGCAAAATGGAAAAAGGCCCCTGAGGGATGACTGAAGTAGGCATACCAGGTACCTGGATTGGGGTTGGGGTGGTGGCCCCTTGACTAGCATAAAGAACCCTGGAAGAGGCCAGGGACTTCCAGGGAACAGGTGGGCATCCAATTGTGTTGGGTTGTGGGAACTGGGTTGTGTGTGCCAGGATGAATGGGTGATCTGGGGCTGGGTACAGAAGTGGGAAAGCCGTGGGCCTGGCATAGCCCTACTTCAGTCCGTCCCTGTCCTTTCCGGCTGTCCCCTCTCTGGGTGTCCCGGCAGGAAAGACTCATCCTGCGGCTCTGCTCTCAAAGTCACCCTCATTATGCTAGGACCATGTAGAGCTGGAGAGGGATGGAACTTGCTCCCCTGGTCCCCCAAACGTGTCTGCTTTGTGCCCTTCTCAGAATGGCCTAGAGGACACATTCCTGGGCCAGATATCCCCACTGCTTGGGACACTACTGCCCCACAGTATATGGGCTAGTACTAGGCACAGCCTGGGGCAGGGGCCTGGAGGGGCTGAGCAGACTTCATCTCCAGGCAGACCAGCAAGCTTGGCCCTCACCCCCTGCTCATGTAGCTGCAGGGCTTCCTACACTGTCCTGGCATGGCCACCTTTTGGCACCCACGGTGCACTTGGGATATGTCTGCAGTGGGCCTGGCACTAAGGGTTCCAGAGCCACAGGACTTGCAGGAAGATAGCTGGGGCACCCAGCATAGTGCTGCGTGTGGGGAGGGCCTGGCCTGGGGTTAAGAGAAGGTGTGCACAAACCCACCCTTGGCACCCCCCACTCATGCTGGAATGAAGAGCGGAGGCCTGGGGTTGGACTAGAAGAGTCCCAGCTGCAACCACCTGGAGGCAGGGGAATGTTAGGTTTAGGCTAGGGTCCAGAGTGCCTGGACAGGAAAGCTGAGACAGGCAGCCATGCCATAGTTTGGAGGTTCAAGAACCTGGGCTTGAGCGACTCTGGCCTGAGGCAGGGCCAGGAGGCTCCGCATGTGGAGAGCCAGGGGGGCTGTTAGCCACTGGGTGTGTGCTTTGCTTCACCTGGAAGGATGCAGCCAGCTTTGCCCTCAGGCCCTGGTGGCACTCCTTGTCTAGGGACCCCAAAGCCAAGGTTCATGTCTAGAGAGGGGTAGCTGGGCATTTGCCTGTGTTTTGCAAGTCAAATGATTCAGAAGGAAAGTCCTCCACCTATGGCAGATGTCCCTGTGACTGGCATCCCCCTCCCCCTACACTCACAAGAAGCTGGGGGCTGCAACCTGCCCTCCCCATTGAGCATTGCGGACACAGGCGTGAGAGGGAGGCACCTTCGGGAGGGCTTTCAAGGGGAGTTGTGACGAATTCAGGGTGGAGGAGGAAGAGAAGGTGTGGGGCCCGAAGGAAGCTGGGGGCGTCCAGCGGCCAAACCTAATTCCCGCCTCCTCATCTAATTCCCGCCTCCTCCGCCCCCAGCCTACTTCTCCCTGCAGGTGATCTCGGCGCGCAGGGCCTTCCGCGTGTCGCCGCCGCTCACCACCGGCCCGCCTGAGTTCGAGCGCGTCTACCGAGCCCAGTGAGGGGCAGCAAGAGGGTGCGGGGTGGGGCCAAGCGAGCGCAGGACAGGCAGGGTCCGAGGCCCCCGCCCGCGCCCTCACGCCACCTCCCCTACCGC